ACAGTGCTATCCTCAAAAATGAATATGGATTACGATCAATAATTCTGCAGGAGACGCTTGTAGTAAAGGCATGATACTTGCTGATCAACTCGTTTTATAACATATGAGAGGTACATCAGAAGGCAGCTTTCATTTTCTCGTGTTATATGTGAAACGGCTTACATAACTTTTCACTGCCACAGAATAATCTCAAAGGTATATTATTAACTGAGCCAGCGGGTTCTTCTCTGCTGTTAAACGTTCAGCACATGACTAAGAAGGGTTCGAAAACTCGACTTTTAAGGTTAATTATCCGACTCAGTCTACATCGAACGTTTGCCGCATTGTAGCAACTCTTCAATGAACATCTGTGAAACGGAGAACTACAGATTGAATTATGGCCCTTCTAGAGCAGGTTCATGGGAAAACCTTTATCTGCATATGCGATGGCTCTCTCTCTGTCATTTCAGTGCCAACGCCTTCACGGCTTGGCTTTGAAAATAAAGACCGAACAGCTCAGAAAGCAGTACTTCAGCGTGGCCTTCTACCGTAATCTTTGTAACTGTTTCCCTTTCGCACAATTGCCAAAAACAAGGAAAAATTCCAGAGACGTATATCATAAACTCATAAGCTTTTCATTTGAATTTCACTTAATTGCCACATAATTCGTTCTGGTTCATCAGCAGCTACACCAAAGCATGCACTGGAATTCAAGAATTTCAGTAAAAATGTGAAATATCCCATTTCGATTTCTATATAGGTGCATGGTTAATTCATAATTTTTACTTTAATTTATGTCAAGTTACTGCAACAATGCGGGAACAAAACAGACATACTTCAACAAAAAATGACGGAGCATTAATATGCGGATATCCAACATCATATCTCTTTTAACACATCCAATAACTTATAGCTATGAATTGCGCATGCTCCTCAGAAATGAACGTTGAAGCATAAGCTGCCTAGCGCAGCAGAAATGAAGTCCTTCCAAAAATTGCTAATGAGACAAGACCAGAAACATTTTTGCACACCTTAACCTCTAACTCGTCCCCTTGTCGTTCGCTTCTATTTTGCCTCGAAAAAAAAAGAATCGTGAGAATCTAAATGCCACCCGGAAGCGGCAGAGTCGCAGGACTGACGGACGGCTAAGTTGCGGTACCGTGGAAACTTAGCGCGAGAATCACGGTTGGATTCTCTGACGGATAGATTGACGGACGCGCTGGTAACAATAGGATCTAAAAATATATGAATGGACGGAAGGGTCAAAGAACGGCTGAAAAGATGAAGGAACGGAGGCACGAACTGAGGGAGAACTGACAGATGGAAGAACATTAACGTACGGATGCAACGTTTGATCGACAGACTAGCCGAAGGACACAGAAGAAAGGCAGCAAGATGGATTAAAGGTTAGATGAAGCGATGGATTATGAATGGAGGGATCAATAGAGGGACAGATTTACGTCTATTTTATGGGCGGAAGGTAGTTAGAGGGGCGATGGACAAGCAGAAGGAGCGATTCATCGTTGAAAAAACAGAAGGACAGATGGATGGATTGATGGATGAATAAATGGATGGAGAAGGATGGATGAATGGATAGATGAATGAACCGATCTATCTATGATGGATGAATTAACTGATGGAAAATTAAATGACTTATGATATATTTGAAAACAAATTTAAAGGACACAATTAGTCATTTCTAATGGAACAAGCACGATCCATGTTGCATCGAGTGGCCAAGTGCCAAGACATAAACTATCCGT